AAAAAAAAAAAAAAAAAAGGGGGGGGGCTGTAGGCTTTGGCAAGTTAAATGTAAAGCAATAATAAGTTAGGCTAAAAGTGATCTCGATGAATAATTGGAAGACATCGAATCTAATAATAATAATAATAGTACTTGTTTCAGCCCATCAGAAACAGAGTATTCTCAGAAGATCTGTAAAGCTGATAAATGATCAGGACCTAAAGAGCTGTCAAGGAAGATAAAACAGAGAAGTAAATGAATTCTTTGCATTGGTATTTATTTGGAAGGGTGTTGGGGAGGTTCATTGTATAACCGTTTATTACAGTGATGGACAAAGAAAGCATAGATGGCGAGGTTTCAAATAGATTTTCTTCTTGATTTGAGACAACTTACGTTAAATTTTAACCAAGATGCTACTGGAACAGTCTTGTATTCATGCAAATTCTTCAGCTAGAATTTATAGGATGAACACAAAATACGATGATTCATCTGGGCCTTAGTTTACGACTCCTTGAGAACAAAATTAATGCATATGAGAAATGAATACGGTATGTGTTTGATCAAAAAAAGAAAAATAGTTGGAAAATAATGTACTCGCTCATGATCTTTAAGGTATATTGTGAATCATAGCTGTCGAAAGCCAGCAGAACTTGCATTAATTACCTGGGTTCTGTTCGTTTTTGGTTTTTTTTTTTTTCAGTTTTAAACTTACTTTCCATAGAATGTGCTGTTATTAAGTAGTACTTTGGAGTGATTGTGGAAAGAGGTTCCAAATAAAGCTTCCAAATAAAACCTATTCTTTCTGAATTTTCAGTGTTTACTATTTCATTTGTCATTGGTTTCAACTTTGGAACAGTTGTTCTTTAAAGCTTTTATTACAGTATTAGAAGCAGCCTTTTTTAAACATAAGATGTAGAAAGTTAGCAATATAAGTATGGATTATTTACCTTCCTAGATAAACTTCATCTTATTGAAAAGCTCTTCCCAACCTTTATTCTTACCAGGGAGAAAGAACAAGAAACACAAGAAGAGGAACATTTGATGGAAGAAAAGAAAAAGAAAAAGCAGGAAGAAAAGAAAAAGAAGGAAGGTGCTCAGAAAAAGGTTTGTTCATGTTACTGTTTTAAACGATATATTCACTTTTACGTGTAACGTACAGATACTGATTCTGCAGCCTTTACTTCTGTGGATAATTCTGACACAAGCGAGCAGTCCTGTCGACTTTGAGTGAGGCTGTGGTCAGAAAATCTCTGCAAAAGCAGTTGTGACAGTTCATTAGCACTCCCCAAGCTGCTTACCATCCCCTGATGTTAAGTTACTGCTCCCACAGCTGTGTCACGTGAATGTTCCTCATCAATGTCAATGCAAAGTTAAGTGGATTAGTGTCAACTGATACTGAAGTGACTGTGGATTCCGAGGCCATTGCGCATTTTCTGTGGTGTGCATTCTCCTGCCTCATTTTCTGGATTACAGAGTTTTAATCTTAAACGGCCCTTAGGATGTGGATGGGAATTGATCACTGTCTTTTTCAGTACAAAAATTAGGCATCATAAAAAAAAAAAAAAAGTGGGTAGATTCCAAACATAAAAAAAAGACGTGTCTTCACAAAATGTGCAGTTAACCTGTGTAAGCTAATAGTACGTATGGATTCAAAGGGATACTGGACAAATTCACGGAAGTTAATTCTGTTGAGTGTTAAAAAGTTCATAAACGTACTGTTTGGTTCAGGAAGCCTCTGAACCTCGGGTGACAGAAGGCTGGGTGGGTAGATGGGGGTACTGTCATATTGCTTGCCATGTTTTATACTGTCTCTTTGGTATCTGCTTTTGGCTTTAGTTAGACAAGGGCAGCCATTCTTATATTCCTAATACATGCAGTTAAAGTAACGTTCTCCAATCCTTGACTGGAACTAATGCCTGATTTATGTAAGCAGTTTCTGCAAAAAGTTAGGCCTGCAGCCCTATAATTATTAGGTACCATTTTGAATATTGACAAGTAGTTGATTTGTTTTGTTCTTTTCTTCTTTCAGGCTGCTGAACAAAAAACCAAAGGTAAATTCACATTTATTCTTTATGAGCCATTTGATATTTTTGTAAGTTTGTATAAAAAAAAATGTGCTTGTACTTTTTATTATTTGCGTCTTTTTAATGGAGAGAGTACTATCTTACTAGGATAGTTCTGTTAAAGTTTTGTTGGAGGAGCTGACTATATGTCGGAATTCTCAGCATAAGCTTTTTCTTTGCTTATCTTGCTGGGTATTGTACGGCACCTTTTTGACAAGAATACATGGATTAAACAACATATGTAATCTTTTTTGTCTAATGTCAAGACAGATGTATTTTTCCATTTAGTTGTTAGTAGTTATTTATCCATTTCAAAGACAACTAATTGCCACCAAAAAGGGCAAATCTCTCCCCCTGCATGCACGATTCAACTCAACTTTAGTGATGAAACTCAATTCATGGAACTTAGGAGAAAGCTACTTCCCCCACCGCCTTTTTTTCCTTCTGTGTGGGTTTTCTGCTTGATAAGTGAATTGAATTGGTTTGCGGCATGGTCCAGGAAGCAGCAGAGATAAGCAAGGCATTCTCCTTTTTGCAGCAGTGAACTCCTAGGTGCCCTAGGAGAAATGTTAATGAAGCTATGGCCTTAAAAAAGGTGAGGAGGAGAGTCAAGGTGATGCCCCTCTTCTGCAGTTGTTGGCTTACAGTTATTTCAGCTAGTCTGTCCTTCGATTTACATGGCACCACACAGAACTCAGGGCTGCGGAACGGTTCTGAACGAGTTAATATGCACTGTTATTTATTGCTGGGTAATTAGGTGACAGACAGGCAAGTAGAGCTTCCCAGATTCCCAAAGACTGGGAATTAGAGAAGAGCCAAGCCTAACATATGGGGTTGACAAAACAACTTATGTTTCAAACACTTTTTATGTATTTATACAGCAGAAATTAAGTATTGCTTCAGTGATACTGAATTCAGAAAAATAAAGTGTAAACTACATGATGAAGAAACTGTAACAAGTAATTTATTGAAACTCTGTCCTTTTCTTTCCAAATTTTTCTTATGTAGAAAGTGTGAAATCAGAAAATTTTAGTCTGAATTCTGTTGCATCTGCCCTGTAAGATCTCATGTAGTTTTTAATAGTGGATTTTGCTTTCAGGAGAAGAAGGTAGCAGAAGTAGCTAAGCCCCTTGAAATCTTAAGTACGTGAAAAAATTTGGAATTAAGATACATCAGAGCAATTTCTATCTAAATGGGATATTTCTGTTTCCACAGTATTACATGTTTTGTTCTCTGTATCAGCGCATTTCTGTGTGAAAAGGTTTCACTGTTCTATGATGTATTATAATGACTTTTTAATATCATAATTCAATGGCAGATGTTTTTGCTGTCAAAGTAACTAAGTTCATTTTCACGTGATAATACAGTGGCTCTTCATTTCTGTTAATATTGAAACACAGTGCCTTCTGCTTTCCTCTGTGGGATATTATTATTTCTGTCTTTGTTGTGACAGCTTTGTTTTTAATTGCTTGAAAATGCCAAGTTTAGGTTTTTAAAAGTAGCATGATGATAACTCCAGTTTTTCAGGTACGCTTGTGAGTTCGTTTCTTTCAAATTTAGGGACTGTGTTTCTCCATCTGTTTGATTTTTTTTTTTTTTTTTTGGTC